GGAAAAGGGCTGAGATGATGGGGGGGGGGGACCTCCAAGGCGACTTCTTTTATTTTCCTCTGCCCCCTCCTCCTTCTTTCCTTTCTGCTTGGTTTTGAGACTGGATTTTCCAGTTTCAAGGCACGGAGAGCAGGAAACGGTTAATTAAGTGTGAAAAGGGAGGACAAAATCAGATGGGTTTGGTGGGATCTAAACCACCCAACCTCCCCCTCCCCCCTAAACCTGATAGTAATTTTTTTTTTCCTCCCCTTTAGAAATGTGGGAAAACAAGTCATGAGCGCTGGTGCACTTCCCAGCTAGTTTATAAAATAAAAAAGCTGGATTTTTGGTTGTGTTTTCTTCTGGTTGAAAGCAGGAGGGGGAATGCTCAGGAAAAGTGATTTGGGTGTTTGTAGAAACGAATGCATCCAGTGAAATCCCGTGTTGTAAAGAAATCTTTCCTGCTGGTGTTATTTCCTTCTTTAAAATCTCTCCTGTCCCTAAGCCCATCGCAGAAATTAATTAAAAATTGCTGAGTGGGTTAATGTGGCACAGGAGTGATCGGTGTGTGCGAAGCTGCTGCACCCAAACACCCAAGAAGGATCAACTGATTTAGAGATGTTTAATTACAGGGATTCTTCAAATAGCACTTAAAGCTGCAAATTATGCTAATGACCATGGGGAACCATTTTAACGAAACACTTTCGAAGTATCCAACTGTAAAGAAAAGTTGGTGCTGATAAATATGTTGTTTCATTAAAAAAAACCCTGGAGTTTTAACGTTTCGTTTAGATTTGTTTAAAGTATCTCCTTGCTGTTTGGGAGTTATTTTTTCTTTGATTTTGCTGATCGAAAAACGTGGAGAAACTTAAGAGCGTTAAAAAAAAAAATCTTAAAAATTATTGCATGCTTTATTCTTCAGAAGGTTTAAAAAGATTCTTTAAGAAAAAAAAAAATCAATTTTCCCTCTTAATATTCAGGGTTGGTCTTGGGGGGGTGGAATGGGGAAGCTGAAAAGCCCGAAGTCGGTGGGGTCGAAAGAATGAATGAATGAAGAGAGGAGGAGGGGTGAGGGGGGAAAAAAGTGAATCCATCAAGCAGACATTCCAAATATGAGGAATGTGGAAGTGAGTCGACCAGAGAGAATGAAACCAAGCAGTTGGGGGGGGGAGAGGGAGTTGGGTTGATAACAGCCCACAGACTTCAAGCTAAAAAGGGGTTTTTCAGTCGAGGTTGTTCACAAGCGACGCGGAGGTTTCGAGGCTCCGTGTGCTCCCCAGCAGAGGTGGGAATTAGTAAATGTTGTTAATGACCTAAGGATTTCATGTAGTGCATGGAAATGGATGGAGAAACCTTAAAATTGGCTCTTTTTGGTTTTTTTTCCCCCAGTCTTTGTTTCAAGTTAATGTTTTCACACCGGAGAAATGTTCTCTTTGCCTGTGCGTAATCGCGCGATTAATTGTTCGTAACGAAATATTTGAAAATTTTTGATAACAGCGAGTGAGATTTCTGTCTTTGTCCGTATTAATCAAAAAATTTGCCTTTCTCCCTCCTGATGTTTGGGATTGTCTGAAAATGGAACTGAAAAAAAAGTTTGCTCGTTCTTTGCCATTAAAATGAAGACACTGTCTTGAATGCTGAGGCACAATATGCTTTTAATCCAGTCTGGAGATCGTTCCCTTCCCTTTATAACAGGCCTGCTTTACAAGTTATAGTATCATTAAAAAAAATTAGCAACACCCTTGTTTACAGGAGTGCTTGGGAATGGGAAGGCAGGAGGAGTGGGGTTGGGTGGTTACACTCCTTTTTCAGTTGCCACAAAGGGTCAGAATCTGGAGTTCTTCTTTGCTTTCTTTCTGTGAGCCCCCAACTTGGAGCTGAGAGCTCTCTGCTGTTGGTTTTACACCTCTGGGAACCGTGGTCGTTTGGAAATTAGTACGTTGTGGTGATTTCCAGCTAGAAAAGCTAGAAAGAATTTGTCATTAAATCAGTCATTAATAATTTGTCAGTAAATTTCATCCGTGAGGTTTAAAACTGAGATAATTTAATCAATCTTAACGTACCTGGGAGAAAGAATATATTTACCAATTTACAGCCCGAAGTGGAGAGAAGTGCCTTGATTTTCCCCCTTTCCACGTAGGAGTCAGAACTGGCAAATATATCCAAGAAATCGCAATTTAGCCGTAAACTTCATAGCCTCAAGATCTGAACCCATAGAAGATGGAGCCCATCCCGTGTAGGTGCCCTTCGTTAGGAGTCTGATGATTCTGAAGTTCTGAAGAAAAAAATAAATTCAATTCCCTGGAGAACTTCGGTGGCAATTGCCAGGACTGACTTCTCCAGTTTAATTTGTTTCTGTCTTTGCCTTTTAGGTTAAAAACCAAGCAAACAAAGATATGGCGAAGGGAGGTCGGGGTTAAAGTACTCGCTTTGAAAATCGAGAGAATTAAAATAAATAAATAAATAAGTGGAGATTTCTACCCCCAAGCCCCCAGCGACGTTAATGTTTTCCAGAGTTACTGGGAGGCTTTGGGGAGAGTTCAGGCTGCTTGGGATGGCCCAAGGTTGGCCCAGGGGGTTGCAGCTCCAGGTTGGAGAAGGAGGAAACATCTCCAGCCCCTTTTCCCTGCCTGGGTTGCCGGCTCCAGCGCTCCGGCACCTTCCCACTGCCTGCCGGATTCGCTGCGTTTGGGAATGGAAGGGAAGGGGCCTCTAGCGATGCTGGTGGAAGGTGTGGGGGTCTTGTTCTGCTGCTTTAACGATGCCACTGGTTTTATGAAACAGTTTGGATGGGGAGAAGTGGGAGCCTGAAGCAGATGCGTAGGGAAGCCCCTGGGGCTGGGGGGGGGATGCTGGTGTCTTCCTCTGCTCCAAGAATTAAGGCGGGGAGTAGGAGAACACTGAAGAATTGGGGAGCCTGAAAGCTGAAGGTTGCAGGCGGCTTCTGGAAAAAAGCCTTTTCAAGAGGTCACAGAGGTTTTTCTGTTTTGTTTTGTTTTCCACCGGAGAGGAGCTATTCCAAAGTTTTAGGTGAAAACTCTCATTTTCACTGTGACTGGAGGCATTTAAAAGCTTCGGCGAGGACGTGCACTCCTAAATCGCCCACTTCAGAGCAGCACTGCCGGCTGCCTCGGGGTTTGTGGGTGAGGGGGTTCCCAGCTGGCTGGACGCCGATGAAC